GGGGACTGGGGAAGGGGTGGTGGATATGGGAAGAGGAGGGGCAGGGGGAGCAGCACTGGAACACGCATTCCCTATATCTAGCTCTCTTCCTCAGAAAGACCCCGAGGCAGACCCTGAACCCCGCAGCTGGACCTACTATCCTCAGATTCAGTCCCTCAGTCTGATGAGGTGTCGGGGCACAGGATCCAGCCCACCCCATAATCTGGCGGCCACCTGACCTCTCCCGCTGCAGCTGTTCTCACATCAGACGGGAGAGGACGCCCGCCCGCCTGCCCACCACCCCAGTGATGCTGGGTTGACAAAGACCACGCCCCCTTCCGTGAGACCCAGCTCAGCCAGTGACTTGCCTGCTCTCTGGTGAAGTTCTTGTCCCCCAGGAGATAGGGGGTGATGAAACTCTCCCCGGGCCGCATCTGCGCCATGAAGCCGTAGAAGCAGAGGTAGAACACCAGGCACTGCCAGGACTTGACCCCCTGGCCCTCGGCAGGGTCCAGGGGGGGCTGTTTCTCTGCCACTGCCACCACCGAGCCCGAGGGCGCCATGCTGCCGGCAGGGACCAGATGGGGACACACAACCTGGAAGAGGAGAAGGAGTGAGCCAGCTCTGGAACAGCCTGGAGACCACCCTGCCTCCCCAAGACTGCCTGCCGCCTCAGCCTCCCTCCTGTGGCTCAGTGAGGATGGAGAAGGCAGCTGAGGGGCTGGGGCTGGCCCAGCGGGACTTCACCGGGAGGGGCTTGGCCCAGAGCGCACCCCTGCAGCTAGTAACACAAAGCCAGGCCATACCCAGATCAAGTTGTCACCACCCTCAAGGGCTCAACGTCTCCCCAGCCATGTGCGCTACGAAGTTTAAATTAACTAAAAACTAAATAAAATTCAGCAATCAGTCTCTTAGGTACTCCGGGCACTGCCAAGCACTTCTGCCTCCTGGGGCCCGTGTTTCGGATGAGGCCGGCCTCCCTCACCACCCAGGGGGTCTCAGGATAGCCTGCTCAGGGAGCCTGCTGTCAGACTGGTCCAGCTCCTGCGTGCGTCCACGTGTGGCTGAGACCCGGCACTACCATTCCTGGTGGCCCCCGTGACAAGCTGGATGCGCCTTGGCCAACTGGAAGAGGGGATCTGTGAGGGGCCGGGCTGAGGGGAGGGGCAGGAAGAGGCCCTACTGGGAAGTGGCAGCTCCTCCAGCTGGGCGTCCACACACACCTGGCTGACCTGCAGACAGTCAGCACTGGCTGGGCGGAGGCAGAACTACAGGCCAGGAGCTCACCTGAGGCTCCTGGGGTCAAATTCCAATCATCAGCCCTGGGGCCACCTGTACCAGAAAGGAACAGGGCAGGAGGAAGCTGGCTGTGAGGGCAGGAAGAACAGGGAGAAATGGGTGCAGGCAGAGGCTGCAGGCCAACAAAGGGGCAGAGCGGGGAGCTGGAAGCAGGCATGCTCCCAGAGGGAAGGCGGCAAGCTCCAAGCGGCCCATCCAAGCCAGTCTTCCTGCCCAGGCAACAGAGTCCTGATCTCAGGCTGGATGGTGCCAGCCGGCGTCCCCTGGAGTGGGGTGTCGCCAGGTAGGCTCTTCATGTGAGCCAGGGAGATGCCGGGCGGCACCAGGCAGCACCATGAGCCAGACCAGGTCATGCGGGAGAACTCAGCGAGTCTTGTCCGTTCTCCTGTTCTACTGTGAAGGAGATGCCAAGCTCGATGCAGTGAAGAGCTCCTCTCAGACACCCAGTCACCACCCCTGCTCACTGCAGGGGCAGGTCATCACACCTATCTCCCTGTGATGGTTAAGGCTGTGTATCAACATGGCTGGGCCATGATTCTCAGTGGTTTGACAGTTATGATGTAGTTGGGTAGCTAGGCATTGATGTGATCGCCTCCATGAGATCTGATATAATGTGATCACCTCCATGATGGGATCTGTTGTGAGGAGCCAATCAGTTGAAAGGGAGTTTCCTCGAGGGTGTGGCCTGCATCCAAGATAGGTGGACTTTCTGGCAAAGCTTGGGGGCTTTTGCTCACTCTGGATTCTGCAGCTGGCTGCTGCTCATCTGACCTCCAGTTCTTGGGACTTCAGGTAGCAGCTTATCTGCTGATCTTGAGATTCATCGGCCTGTGCAGTCTGTGAGCCAGCGGACTGCCAGCTTACCTGCCGATCTCAGGATTCGTCAGCCTCCACAGCCTGTGAGCCAGAGGCCTGCTATCTGGCCTGCTGATCCTGAGTTCACCAGCTCCTACAGCTACGTGAGTCAGGAGAAGCCTTCAGCCTGACTCAAAGACTTGGGACTTTCCAGCCTCTGCAACCACATGTGCCACTTCCTTGATATAAATCTTTCTATATATATATTTATGTGCTTCACTCATTTTGCTTCTCCAGAGAACCCAGCCGAAGACACTCCCCGAACACAAAGTTCCTCATGGTGGGTCATTTTTATCACTGCATCTTTGTGCCAAGTGAGATTGCTTTCTATCAAGGTCAAGCACTGGTATAAAACATCCTTTCTGGGTGGCTATATGAAGAACATGGCATCAGGATCAGAGGAAGACTCGTTAACAACCTGCAATATGCAGATGACACAACTTTGCTTGCTGAAAGTGAAGGGACTTGAAGCACTTACTGATGAAGACCAAAGACCACAGCCTTCAGGATGGATTACACCTCAACATAAAGAAAACAAAAATCCTCACAACTGGACCAATAAGCACCATCACGATAAATGGAGAAAAGATTGAAGTTGTCAAGAATTTCATTTTACTTGGATTCACAATCAACACGCATGGAAGCAGCAGTCAAGAAATCAAAAGACGCATTGCACTGGGCAAATCTGCTGCAAAAGATCTCTTGAAAGTGTTGAAAAGCTAAGACGTCACCTTGAAGACTAAGGTGTGCCTGACCCAAGCCATGGTGTTTTAAGTCACCTCACGTGCATGCGAAAGCTGGACAATGAATGAGGAAGACCGAGGAAGAATGGATGCCTTTGAATTATAGTGTTGGTGAAGAATATTGAATATACCACGGACTGCCAGAAAAACGAACAAATCTGTCCTGGAAGTACAGCCAGAATGCTGTAGCGAGGATACATTTCACATACTTCGGACATGTTATCAGGAAGGATCAGTCCTAGAGAAGGACATCATGCTTGGCAAAGTAGGGGGTTCGCGAAAAAGAGAAAGACCCTCAACAAGATGGACTGACACAGTGGCTACAGCAATGGGCTCAAGCGTAACGATTGTGAAGGATGGCACAGGACCCGGCAGTGTTTCGTTCTGTTGTGCAGAGGGTCGCTGTGAGTCAGAAGGGACTCGATAGCACCGACAACCACAGACTATACTGCTACAAGAAAAATACCAGGTCAGCCAGGGCTCATGGGCCAAGAAGGTACGCAGAGCCAGGAAGATCCAGCTGCCCCTGCATGGATGGGCTTGTCTGAGACATCCCAGCCGGCTTCAGGGACCAGGACGGCCCACGTGACCCTCACTGCACATGTCTGTCGCTGAGGCATGTGGACCAGCCAAGGTTGGGAGGTCTTGGGTGAGCTGGGCATCTTGAGCTCATGTGGATGGCTGTGTTCTTGACTGCAGGGCCCATTAGGGGAGGGGTCTGCAGAGGGTCTGGACTCGGGGAGAAGTCCCCTCCAATCCCCAAGCAGTAGGCACAGAAAGCTCCTGTGATGCGGGACCAGCTGTAGGGTCCAGGGACCTCTAGGAAAAGCTGCACCAGACTCCTATCATTCAGAATTGCCCCCGCACTTAGCCATGCACACAGGGCCACGTGTCTCCAAGACCACCAAAGGTGGAAGAGGTCCCCACGCCCCACCCATGTCACAGAGAAAGACTTCGCAGCAGGGCCAGACTATTTTCCACCCCAGCTCAAGTAGGACTGGGGGCCAGGCCCTTGGTGGGAAGGTGGCGCCAGCTTCTGCCTTAACTTCCTCATGTCTATTTTTGTGACTACGGGAAAACGAGCCGGGTAACCACAGTGACATCCTCAAGGCTTGGGGCTTGTTTGTGGGGTTACTATGGAGGGAGAGAGCTGAGAGAATTCCAAAGGGAGGGGATGGAGGGGAAGACGCTGGGACACATGCGGGGAGGCAGTGGCCCCAGAGGTCACCAGATGCTGGGACAGTCCCTCGGCACCCCACATCAAAGCACCAAGAAGGAAAACAAGAAGCCACAGGAGTGGGCTATTGCTCTGTCCCACGCCCGAAAGAGCCGGCCTGCAGAGAGAACACAGCAGGCCACGTGGGTCATCTGAGACTCTGATGTCTGCTTTTCTTGGTTCACGTGTCCCAAACTTCCTTGGAGCTGGCAGAACAGCTAGAAGGAGCATTCCTTTCTGGTACCATTTCTGAGCAGGGACCCATGTGTCCATGCATGGGCCTCCTGCGGCCCACACCTCTGTGAGTCCACCCTCTCCCTACTGGGAGACCCCATTTCAGCCCCAGGGCTCCCCCTAACCTTACGCTTGCACTCCTGGGCAAGGTTAGGGAAATGCACTGTGCCCTGGGCTCCACGTCCGCCTCTGGGCAGGATTCCCTCCTGCCCTCCCTGAGCAGCCTCACACTCTTCCCGCTAAGAACCCAGAGCCCTGCGGTGAACAGCCAAGAATGTAACAAAGCGCAGGCTCCTGTGCCCATAACCAAAGGTTCAGCCCCCTACCCTGGGTTTCCCCCAGCATCTCAGGACCTGGACCCCCCACCCACCACATTCCCCAGTGTCTCAGGACCCGGGCTCCCCAGTCTTGGCTTCCCCCGGGGGCTCAGGACCTGAGGTGCTCAGTCCCTCTAGCCTAAGGACTTCATCTCCAGAGGTAACAGGCACTTCCTTACTTGCTGTCACCCCGTGTCAGGGGCAGTGGAACGAGTCTTGAGACCCCGTACAAAGCACTCACTGTCTCATTTCCGCACCCTCACTGACTCCTAAGGGTTCCTCAATCCCAGAGCTGGGGCTCGTGCCTTCATGGGAGCCTGCTGGGAACTCAGGGTCTGGGCCTGCCCCAGTCTGTGGGGAAGGTCAGGGACGGCCCGGGTCTCTGCACTTCAACATGTTCTGCAGGTAAGGAGGGCACTACTCCTGGATTCCCACCTGTCAGGGAGGAGCGCAGGACACGGGGCACGTTCCCACACTGGGCTGAGCCCAGGGTCCCTCCCAATCCAGCCTCACCCTATCCCGTGTAACGAGGGGCTCCCCACAGAGATGGCCACCTGATGCTAGGCGTCAGACACCTGTCCTGAGAGCTGTGTACAAATTCTGTCCTTTCCTGCCAATGTAGGGCCCTCCCCAGGCCTTCAGGGAAAGCCTGCAGCTGTACCAGGTGGCCTCTGGAACATTTTTCTCTCAAAAAGGGGGGCCCTTGGGGCAGGGGGGTTATCGCCATCTGGAATGTGTGTCTTCCAGGCATTTACAGTACCTCCCACAGAGCAGTGACTATATACTTTGGAAAACTTATGGAAGAGTTAGGTCAGTGGCTGCTGACTCCAGAGCCCACAGGTGCCCGCTGGGGCCAAGCGAGAGACGCCCAGCCCGGGGCCACGGGAGGAGCCTGGCATCCTAGAGCCCAGGCCAGCTCCAGAGGG